TACTTTGGCCACCAAATGAGAAGGGAGCACTCCCTGGAGAAGACCCTGATGCTGGGAAAGATTGAAGGTGAAAGAAGACGGGGACGGCAAAGGATGAGATGGTTAGACAGTGTCATAGATGCAACGAACATGAAACTGAGCAAACTTCAGAGGACGGCGGAAGACAGGAAGGCCTGGCGTGATCTGGTCCATGGGGTCGCAAAGAGTCGGACTCGACTGTGCGACTGAACAACAACAACAAATGCATGGATTTCAGGGCATTCAACCCAGGTTTCTTTTTGTTGTCGACAGAAAGCAAACTGTATGTAATAACTGAGTGTACTTTTGTCTACTATGGGTGACAATGTTCTAGAGTCACTTTTCTGTGCATTCTTCCCCAAAAATGCCACCTGGGTAGAGACATAGATGCCAAAGGATTTCCAGGGTTTAAAAATGCACTTTTCTGTGCATTCTCCCCCCCCCCAAAAGCCACCTGGGTAGGGGCATATTGTTGTTCGGTTGCACAGTCAAGTCAAACTCTTCACGACCCCATGGACCACATCATGCCATGCCCTCCTGTCCTCTGTTGCGCTTCGGAGCCTGCTTAGTTTCATGTCCGTTGCATCTATGACACTGTCTAACCATCTCATCCTTGGCCGTCCCCTTCTTCTTTGACCTTCAATCTTTCCCAGCATCAGGGTCTTCTCCAGGGAGTGCTCCCTTCTCACTGGGTGGCCAAAGTATTTGAGCTTCAGCTTCAGTATCTGGCTTTCCAGGGAACAGTCAGGGTTGATTTCTTTTAGGATTGACTGATTTGATCTCCTTGCAGTCCAAGGGACTCTCAAGAGTCTTCTCCAGCACCATAATTACCCCAAAGTTATGTCCAGGATTTAAAAATGCATATAGGACTGCTGAGATTGACCATGTTACCTCCACACGAAGATTCCTTCTAGGTTCCCCCTTGTGCCACCCTGTCTCAACCCAAACATCATAGGAAAGCAAATCACATGACTTACCTGGCTGCTTGGGTTCTCAAGTTGACCAAGGTATCCTGGAATCAAAGCTCATAAATTGCTGTGTTTGGGTGAAAGAAACATGCAGCACTCACCCGTTTCTGTTGCCTAGAGTAGAGTAGGCCAGGCCAGCTTATGAGCCACCAACCCAAACAAACACCCTAAGAACACAAGAAGAACCCTGCTGAATCTGAGGAGTGGTCTGTCTGGACCAGCATCTGCTGGTTCTCACAGTGACCCATCAGATATCCTCAAAAAAGTCTACAGGTAAAACATGGAGGCCTTGACCTGGATAGCCCAGGCTAGCCAGATCTTGTCAGATCTTGGACACTAAGCAGGGTCAGCCATGGTTAGTATTTGGAAGGGAATACCAGGGTTGGGACGTGGAGCCAGGCAATGGCGAGCCACCTCTGAGCACCATAAGTCACCTGACCCTTGACAGCCAAAAAAAGGCATGGAGGCAGCAATATCTCTCCCAGGGCTATTTTTGGGCAGGAACGCACAGGAACGGAGTTCCGGCTGGCTTCAGAGTTGGCCACGGCCACTACAGCCAAAACCTCTGCATGTGTGGCTACAGAGGGAAGGCCTGGAGAGTGACACCCCCCAGGCGACTCTGAGTTGGGTGGGCCAGGGGGCCCCCTGGAAGGATCGGGGAGGCATTTAAATGCCTCCCTGTGCCTTCCTGAGCCTGTCCAAGGGCCAGCTTGGCTGGGGTCCCCACAGCTGTGGGGCACCCGGGCAAGCCAAGCGAAGGCATGGGGGTGTGGCCTAATATGCTAATGAGCCACACTGTCTGGGTGTGGCCTAATATGCTATTGAGTTTCTGTTGGGTGTGGCCTATTATGCTAATGAGTTCCTGCTGGGGTTTTTTCTACAAAAAAGCCCTGATCTCTCCCATGTGGAAGTACTCTCCATGGTGGCATCATTTAGCCCTCTACCCATGCAATATGGCCTCTCTGTTGTTTGACAACGCTCCCTGCTTGTTTGTTTTTAAATCCCTAGAGAGGTGGCAAAAGTAACAGGGTTTATCGCACATCCAGGGACCACAAAACGTGGTAGGTGAGTGGCTCTCGACTTAATGGTTCACAAGCTGAGCCAGACCGTCCTTCAGGGACCTGCCTGCCCTACATTTTTAGCACATTCCATGTTAACTACTCCCAAACGTCCACTAAAAAAGGATGCAACTTTCGTTGAACCGGAGAACTGTGCCTTCAAATGATACTCTCCAGTTCATACGTATGAGTAGAACGCTGGGATGTCATCGATCAGGGATGCGCAGGAATCTGGCCCCCACATCTGCTTCGGGGGAAGGTCTGCTCCCTACATTTTAATTACTTACTAAGAGATAATTAGGGTCTGCTTGGACCCTGGAGGATACTCGGCCTATTCGCGCAACAATTATCACTTTAATCCATTCTACCAGTCCCATCAGGCATATTAAAAGTGGGATTTGCCACATTGGGATGGGGTGAGGGCCAGTGTACTGATTAGTTGGATGGCACATTTGAAACGAAAGCCGCTTACACATTTAAGCTTGATTAAATGAGTCAGTCAAGCCGACAAGAGGTTGATTATCATGAAACCAGGGCTGTTTTTTCAGCCGTGTTTTCAACATTCATTATTCACCAGAGCTAAATGAGGTTTACGAGGAGAGAAGCTCAGGTTATAAAAGCACAAGCAGAGATATCAGGAAGACCAGCCTCTCCTGTTATTTCAGAGAGCTTGACAGAGACCCTCATTATAAATCAAGGCCCTGTCTTTACCCTCCTAGAGCTGAAAAGGAATATTTACAAACACTCAACATTCAATGACTTTTGCTATTTCCTTCCCCCATAGTTATGCATGATAACCCTTTATATGTTGCCAAATCCTCATATTTTGGGAGGCCGTGACATGAGGGATTTGAATCAGACGTTCAACGGGAGGTTTGTGCTGCACAAATTCACCCATGTCCTTTTCTCCTCGTGACCAGGGCTTATGGACAGAAGTGGGAGCTATCTTCTGCCCTGCACTGTTTTCATCTTTTGGAAATGTCTTGTGGAGCCATTTTGGGATCTGTTGGTGAAACCATATTATTTACAGGAGGTGTTTATGTGGCTGAAGAAAACTTTCCCCCTCCCAAGTCAATTTCCTTCTAGATCATATTAGGACCAATTTAGTAAAAAAAACCACCCCTCTCTCTCTGTATTTTGCTGTCAAGTCACAGCTGACGTTTGGTGACCCCATGGGGTCTTCAAGGCAAGAGGCTTTCAGAGGTGGTTTTCCGTTGGCTGCCCCCATGCCACAACCCTGGTATTTCTTGGTGATGTCACTTCCAAATAATGAAAAGGGCTGACCCTGCTTGACTTCTGAAATCTGACAAGATCGGGCTAGCCTGGGCTATCTAGGTCAGGATGACAATTCTCATACTGGCTCAGAAGTGAAGTTAATCAAATCTCTGATATTCACTCCTGTCTACAGACCATCTATTTGCCCCATAGTCTATGGGTCTCTCTCTCTCTCTCTCTCTCTCTCTCTCTCTCTCTCTCTCTCTCTCTCTCTCTCTCTCTCTCTCTCAGTACTCTGTGGTTACAGAGTAAAATTATGGAAACTGACCTGGATTGGCCCAGGCTAGCCTGATTTTACCAGATCTCAGAAACTAAGTCGGTTGGCCCTGGTTAGTATTTAGATGGGAGACCATCAAACAAGTCCAGGGTTGCTACACAGAGGCAGGCGATGGCAGCCCAACTTTGTTAGTCTCTTGGCTTGAAAACTCTAAGGCAGTGATGGCGAACCTTTTAGAGACCAAGTGCCCAATCTGCGACCCAAAACCCACTTATTTATCGCAAAGTGCCAACAGGTCAATTTAACCCCATACATTAACTTAAGATGATCCAAACAAAGTAAGGAAAGCAATCCCAAATGCTTTTATTTACTTAAAATTATTTGGCAGAGAATTTGACACTTTTATGATGGTCTGGGCCTGGCTAGGGCGATGGCACGTGCCATAGGTTCGCCACCACTGCTCTAAGGCGTCACCATTAGTCAGCTATGACCTGCCAGCAGCACACTTTCTACCACCACCATGAACAATGACACCAAAACACCTATTCATCCTCTTAGGGACTCAATAAACCTCATTGTTTATATGTTCGTATCCTGCCTTTCCTCTAAGGGCCTCAGGGCACTGTACCTAGTTCTGTAGTTCTGATCTGGATAGTCCAGGCTAGCCTGATCTCATCAGATCTTGGAAGCTAAGCAGGGTCAGCCTGGGATAGTATTTGGAAGGGTGACCTCCAAGGAATATCAGGGTCGTGACGCAGAGGCAGGCAATGGCAAAACCACCCCCGAAATGTCTCTTGCCCTAAAAAAAATCTAGTACGCCACCTAGTGGTGCATAACACTAAAAGAGCAAGAACTTCTCACTGCCAGACAATCTTAGGATCGCCTGTCTATACTACACACAATGCATGATAATGATAATAATAATAAGACCTAGTTCTGTCCCCAATTTCATCTCAGAAGAGCCCTGTAAAAGAGGTTAGGCTAAGACATAGTGACTGGCTCAGGGTCACCCAGAGCTTTTATGACTCACTGGGGGAATTGAACCTGGGTCTTCCCGGCCCCAGTCCAGCCCTCTAACCACTACCCCACACTGGCTCTATTGTTACACTATTTGCCTGGAACTACAAAAAGCAAGAGAGAGTGTGTGTGTTTGCCAACCAGGTGGCTAATGGAATAAGTTTGGTTTTGTGTGCTGTAACTCACACAGACCTGATCTATGTTTAAGGGGACACCCTAGTCATTCTGAGAGCTTCCCAGAAATATGAACAGTTTCCAAAACCTTATCAGAGGACTAGAAAATGTCAGATTGTACTACATGCTAAATATGGCATAACAGAAGAAAGGTTTGCACCTCATGTCCTCTATTGTAATGTCATCATTTAAAAGAACAAAGATATTTTCAAGATCTGAGCATCAGTGACTTTATCTGGATTTGTGGTTGTGTCGTTTTCACAGGGGAAAGGGATGGCCAAGCCCTACGCCAAGCCCAAAGAGATGGTCGAGCTCATATCTTCTCAGCCATGGATGGACGAAGCCCTGAGCTCCCAGGACGAGATGAAGGAGGAAGACGGCCGACCAGCTTCCTACAGTATCCTTGCAGGCATGAACGAAGACCATGACAGCATTGAGGAAGAAGAAGAGGAAGAAGACGGTGGGAAGCCAAAGAGAAGGGGGCCGAAGAAGAAGAAGATGACTAAGGCGAGGCTGGAGCGGTTCAGGGCCCGGAGGGTCAAGGCCAACGCTCGGGAGCGAACACGAATGCACGGTCTCAACGATGCTCTGGATAACCTTCGGCGGGTGATGCCCTGCTACTCCAAAACGCAGAAGCTATCCAAAATCGAGACCTTGAGGCTAGCCAGGAACTATATTTGGGCTTTGTCCGAGGTGCTGGAGAGTGGGCAGACAACAGAAGGGAAAGGTTTTGTGGACATGCTCTGTAAAGGTTTGTCCCAACCCACCAGCAACCTGGTTGCCGGCTGTCTGCAGCTGGGGCCTCAGTCTTTGTTCATGGAGAAAGCTGAGGAAAAAAACTCCACTCCTGACTCAGTGGTACCCAGCCACAGCTTCTCCTACCAGTCCCCAGGGCTGCCCAGCCCCCCATACGGAAACATGGAGACGCACGTGGTACATCTAAAGCCCCCCACATTCAAAAGCCTGGTGGAGCCTTCTTTCGGCAACCATCACCAAGACTGCACGTCTCCCCCATACGAGGGTCCCCTGACACCCCCGCTGAGCATCAGTGGGAACTTCTCCCTAAAGCAAGATGGGTCTCCAGACCTGGAGAAATCCTACAGCTTCATGGCCCACTACCCGTCTGTCAGCCTGGGCAGTTCACATGGGCATACCTCTCATTTCTCAACCACAATGCCCAGGTATGACATCCCCATAGATATGACTTATGACTCTTATCCTCACCATGTGGTGGGGGCCCAACTCAATGCAATATTCAGTGAATAACCTAAGGCATTTAACAGGTTGCGGATTAAAGGACTATGATGCTTCATAGTGATGTTGGTATCATCCGTAGAGTTGTGGAAGGAAGGTTTCCGCCTGCTCCAGTGGTATATGCAGATAAAGTCTGGACTGGTTTCAGAGGAAGCCCCTTGGGAAGAGCCCCCACCCCCACCCTCACATATTCCATTTCTTATGAGCCTGAATAGATTTCAGTGGTGCAGATCTGAGGGCTTTTGGACTGGTGTCCATTCTTCAAGAACATCTCAACATTTTCTCGTTGGTTTGTCATTTAGGATGAAGACATGTGACATTTATAGGCCAGTGAGGCTTGTTTATAAACACCATCACCACATTCAGTATCTGTTCAGGATCACAAACACTCAGTCACACAATGCAGGCAAAAGGTGAGAAATCATTGATATGTTTCATGTGAACAGCAGTGCTGATATTTCTCCACCTCTGTCAATGACACACTGTGTGGGGAAAGGCAACGTTGCTACTGACTAACACTCAGGACTTTCACAGAATAGCAATACGAGGAATGTGGGCATTCTCCGGACCAGCTGCATCCAGTCTTTCTCCCGCAAGATCCAAAGTCGTTACTGCATCACAAAACGGAAGTCAACCAAAACAGAAAGGTACTCTCATCTTTCCAGCGAGACGAGAAGCTCCCTCGGGTTCCTGAATCGCCTTCACCTACACCTGTACGGAGAACAGTTTTCCCTTGACTGCATTGCAAGGTCCACTCCTCCAGCAATAACCAGTGGAAACGTACAAGACACTTGTATGAATCTGACATGAAATGATGGGAGTGTTAAAGTGACAGAATCCACCTTAGAGAAACAGGAGAGCCTGCAGTCTCAGACATCGAACAAAGAGAGGTGCCCAAAGCCCAAGACTTCCTAGAAGCCATGCACCCTAAACCACAGACAGCCGAGAGCTGGTTGAGGGTACTCAGTACATGTTCAGGGGAACTCTTCTCTCCAGCCAGCCACCAGATGATAATATATTTTGTTATATATCCCATCTAATGTATGGTATGTGGGTGACCCAGGTCTTAGGCTCCATATAAGCTTATAAAACAGATGTTGGCATTTGAGCTCATCTGGGTGGGCTGTCATAATTATTCAGAATACTCGACTGGGGCCAATGGTCCCTTCTCCCCCCCCCCCAAATATAATTTCCACTAGTTTTAGTCAAGCAGTTGATTATACTGTTGATAATGTTTGTCCAACGAAATGCCACGTGTCATTATCAATGACTAAGCACGGACTTTTTAAAAATTGAAACTTGGGTGCCAGGTGACAAATGGCAAGGAGGCCGATCCTGTCTTGAGTTTCATCCAGAATCCTGCTTTAGTATTAGAAGCAGTGTTCCCTCTAAGTTGAGTTAGTGTGAGCTAGCTCACAGTTTTTTAGCCTTTGGCTCACACTTTTTTTGTCTTAGCTCAGGAAGGACGGCCCCAGAGCAAACTAATTTATGCAGTAGCCAAATCGCTCGCTCACAACTTTAATGCTAGTAGCTCACAAAGTACAATTTTTGCTCACAGAACTCCATAGCTTAGAGGGAGCATTAAGTTCAAGCAATAACAGCTGCCTGATATTTTGTTGGGAGAACTGGGTGGGAAAGGCCAAGAAGGACCACTCCCAAGTAATGCTCCCTCTAAACTGGAGTCTTGTGAGCAAAAATTCTACTTTGTGAGCTACTGGCATTAAAGTTGTGAGCGAGCGATCTGACTACTGCATAAATTAGTTTGCTCTGGAGCCATCCTTCCTGAGCTGAGACAAAAGTGTGTGGGCTGGAGGCTAAAAAACTGTGAGCCAGCTCACACTAACTCAGCTTAGAGGGACCACTGCAGTCCTAAGACTAAACAGGGAACCCTGTTTTACCTGACCGAAGTGGATTATTATGGCCAAGGTCCATTTTATTGAAATCATTGTACAGATATTTACAACGGTTACTGCAGTTACCAATCAATACAAACACAGGTATTAATTTCTGCTTGCTCCCAAAGCTATCTGTGAGTAGTCCAGTACTGACAGTGTTTATGGTAGCTACTTCAGGGTATCCCTGGAACTAGACTAACACCACTGAAATTTCTGAAGGATTTGTGGGTTCGTCATTAGATGAAACATCCGAGGAGTGCCAAAGGAAGTTAAATGAGTTTTGTTAAAATCCCAGCTATATTACTCAGGGGAGGTTCCACATATTCTAATTCTAATGGTTCCACATATTCTAATAATTTTGCCACCAGTGAATTTAGCAGTTCCTCCTCAGGCAACACAACTGAGAAATTCCAAAGGAAGATGGTGGTGGTGGATTATGCATCCCTGATTGGAAGATCAGGTTGGGCATTTGATTGGTCAAAAAGGATCCGAACACATCTTTTACTGAATCTGACCATTGGTCAATCATGTACAGTATTGTCTACGCAGGCTGGCAGCTGCTGTCTAAGATCTCAGGTGGAGATCTTTCACATCACCTGATCCTTTCACTTAGAGACGCCAGGGGTTGAACCTGAGAGACCTTCTACATGCCAAGCAGATGCTCTACCACTGAGCCACAGCCCCTTCCTTTAATTGTGGTCATTTGACAGGTCAAATACTGAGCGAATATCAGGTTGGGTCCTGCAGATCCGTTCCACCAGCGGGGGAATTCTGCTAAGTGAAGAATAGAACTCTTGTGGAGGGACCTTTATCCTGTTGGAAGAAGTCTCCCTCCATTAGAAGAAGACCCCTTGCTGACTTAACTGCTCCAGTTAAATAAAATGCATTTCTTTTTACAAATGGAATGAAATATTCTAATGATTAAAAAATCTTAGATATGCTTTTTGCTCACAAACCCAGTTCTTCTCCATAGCATTGATCTGGAACACTAGGACCACCAATGTGTTGAGTAGTTTTGCCATCAACTTGCAACCAACTTAGGGCCACCCCATAGGGGTTCAAGGCAAGAGACATTCAGAGGTGGTTCGCCATGGCCTGCCTCTGCGTGGCAACCCTGGACTTCCTTGGTGGTCTCCCATCCAAATACTAACCAGGGCCGATCCTGCTTAGCTTCCGAGATCTGACAAGACTGGGCTAGCCTGGGCCATCCAAGGCAGGGCCGGAATGACCTACAGTCACAATAAAAAAATAGAAACAAAGCAAAGTAATAGCAACAATTAAATTAAAGTCAATATTTAGAGGCAGCTGCTGCTAACACATAACATCGTATAATGATTTTTCTTTTAAGGCAAGCTGCCCGCTACACAGCAGCATTCTTGGCTTGATGGAGCATTTGATGACGTTTGACCATTATTGCCTAGTAGGCAGTCAGTTGACGATATAGGATCAGTCCATCGAGCAGCACGCCAATCCTGTGGGGCCACTGTGACTTATAAAGGAGATGGAGCAGAACCCACAAACTGGCAGGTTTTCATCATGCTCCTTTCTGACCTGCGTTTCAGGAACACACCCAGCCAGCCGGCCGGGGGAAGCCATGTCTTAAGTCCTCTTATTTATTATTTATACAGTCTCTAAGTTATTTCCTTTGCATAAAACGTGAAATGAATGGATCGTCGGTCTCCCTTCATTGACTTCTAAAGTATTTAGTTGACGGTTTTAGCATCGTGGGGATAAATGTTTGTGTGAAGTTGGAGTGTTTTCTCTCTCCCTCTCCCTCTCTCTTTGTTTTGTGGTGCCTTTTGATCCATCGTTATTTATTAGATATTATTTATTTAACTTATTCCTGCTCCTTCCCCTTTTGAGGGGTTGGGGTGGGGAAACTTCAGTCTATCGCGTGAGCAAGCAATAATATATCGGAAGCTGTTTGCGTCCCCATTGAGAGGAAACATTGCTGGAGGTTTACACATCCACTGAAGCAGCAACAGAAGCAATAATCCTAGGGTTGCCACCTCAAGGTTGGAAAATACTTGGTGGTTTGGGGGGGGTTGGAGCCTGGGGAAGGTGGATTTGGGAAGGGGAGGGCCCCCAGTGGGGTATAGTGCCATTGAGTCAACCCTCCAAAACAACCATCTTCTCCAGGGGAACTGACGTTGGTTGTCAATTGTAAGAGCTGGAGATCTCCAGGTACCACCTGGAGGCTGGCGACCCAAAGTAATCCTTTTTACAACATCAAGGCTATGCAATTCAGGGTTTTTGTTTCTTTGCTCATTTGCCTTTCAAGCAAAGACAGAGCAACCTGTTGCTCTCCGATCAGTCTGGAGGGTAGCAGCTAGCTACCCTTGGGTCATTTCCTGCCCCCAAAAGGCGACTTCCTGGCCCCACCTTCTTACTGGACTCACCGGGTGTGGCCCCAGGTTGTCAGCCACTGAGCCATGATAGAGAAACCCCCTTTATTTTGCAGTGGGATTATATGCAGGGAGTCAAATTCTGGAAATCTATTGTACTCCCGAGGTATCTGTTAACAACAGCTTTTGGAATCAGGAGGGGTGATAAACTGGTTGGATTTGTTTCAGCAATTTCTTTTTGTACTAAAGTATATATCTATATATATGATCATTTTGTAAAGAAAGCAGAATTGGCTTTTTTATAGCCTCAATAAAAGTGGTGGATCTTGTTTCAGCAGAAAGGATCATTTGTGTATATTATTTCCTTCCTTCCTTCCTTCCTTCCTTCCTTCCTTCCTTCCTTTTATACCCAGCCCTCCCCGCCGAAGCAGGCTCAGGGCGGCTTACATAAAATACATACATAAATACAGTTAAAAATCATTCATAAAGCATCATAACAAATTAAATAATTCTTTATACATTCATGGAATTCGTTAATCCCTTTTTTACTTTTATTTTGTTGAAAACATTTGAACTTTGCCTCAGTTCCAACTCAAAGTGAAAATCCAAATGACAAGTATAGTTGCCAACTCTGTCTGGGGAGATTCATGGATATTGGGGGCCCTGCGAGTTTGGAGCCTCTCTTTCAAACCCCCTCCCCTCCAGCCCCCAGAATATACCCTATGTTTTCGCTATTGACTTCAATGGCCCATAGGATATAATGGGGTCAACT